CCAATGGCTGTCGCCAATGAAGGAAGCTAAACAGATCTGAGGTTTTGAAAACACAACTCCTTTCCCAAAATTAATCTCTCTCTTTCTCTCTGCTCTTTTTCTCTCTCTGTCTCTGTCTCTCTCTCCCTTGCTCTCTCTCTCTCTCCCTTCCTGCCCCCTCCTTCTCTCTCTTCTTCCCTCCCTCTCTCCCTTTCAAAATTTCAGCAAGTGCAAATATTCTCAATAGACAGCTTTATCAAAATTTCAATCAATATTTGTATCTTCTGTGTTCCACTATACTACTTCCTAGTGTACAGAAATAAATAAAACCCATGTCTTGCTCTCATAAAGTTCACATAGAAGTAGAGCTGAAATCTAGTTGTATTCCAACCTAAAGTGCTCTGTATAGAACTGCTTATTGAAAGCACATTGAAGACAGCTATATATGGAGTACTCTAGAACAATGAATAATACCAAGTACAGAGATGACTATGACAAAAGAGTTTCATCCTCCCTGAACTAGAATCCTCAAATCCATCTGTCGAAGTTTTAACATTCAACTTTCAACAAATATTAAGAATCTACTACTATGTTCCGGGAACTCTTCCAGGCACTACAGAAATAATCTCATGGTTGAATCTTTCTGTGTCTCCGTTTGTCCATTTTTATGCAGTGTCAAGAGTAAGACGCATATAACAAAACAACAAAAGTTCTATATTCTCTTTCGTATGACACTTGCTTTCAATTTCCAGGAAAGACATCTTGAGGACACATAGCAAAGACCTTCATCTCGTGTTCATAAGTCCACCATATCTGGTTCTATTAGTATCCAAGAGTTTACATTCATTCATTCATTATTTTTCAAGATCTAAAGAAAAAAATTCTCTTTTCTAATATTGGCACAGATGGTCAACAAAACAAATTATCTTTACAGTTGGAAGATCAAGCCTAAATGTTCCAAGACAACTGATCACCAGTTCTCCAATGAGACATTGGGAGTGGGAAGTACACCAGGGGCACTGTTCTTTAAATGCAAGTGTATGTGGGGCCCTGGGTGGAAATGGAGAGTGCAAATACCAGTTCTGAGGCCCATTGGAAGAAGATTATAAAAAGCAGGTTATGACCCAGGCTTGAAGGATTGTGGTCTAGCCTGCTGTGCTTCTCACACTTTAATATACACATGAATCATAGGTAGTTCCGGAAATTTTGGTTCAGTTGGTCCAGAAAGGGGCCTGAGCTTCTTTCTCTATTTCTAACAAGCTCTTCTAGGTGGTTCTGATGCTACCTGTCCTGACTTTACACTTCGAATAGCAAGAGATTAAAGGAGAGAGTGTGGAGACGGAGCATGGCAGAGAGGAAATAAGGCAGGAAAAAGGCCCAAACTGGGAATGGGGGAAGCCAGCTGAAAGGCCAGAGGAGAAAACCACAGGCCTCACGGTAATCAGAAGTTATTGCCTAGTTCTCCAAGAGGACCCTAGAGCTACTGGAACACTCTCTGCTCTGAGCCTGGACAAATAATACTCATCCTGGATTATATAGGATTCTGCTATCTTCTAACAGGACCCAGACTATTTCTGATTAATTCTCCTCAAAATTAGACTTCTGGCAAAGTAGGACCAGATAAGGGGCGGGTCACCCAACCGTTCCCAGGATATAAATTACCTAAAACTCTCTAGAAATATACCAAGAAGTAAACAATTTTGTTTCCAAAGACTTTCTGGGGCAAAGCACTGTCCATGTTGAGGCGGACACTTGGATAAGCCATGTGTAGGTGGGAGACGAGGCCCTCAAAGACCAGGCTTGAGTTAAAATAAAGCGCTTCCAATGAGGATAGTTTTCATGAACTATATGACTTTATGTAATTGAATGAGTGTGCAAATAAGGCCTCAGAGCTGGACTTGAAAAGAGGCTGACCTCTACCACCAGCCCCCACACAGCCTTACTTTTGATGTTGAACAAATCTGTAAAAATTCGGTTTCGAAGGAGTGCAAAATTATTGTTAGTCTGAGGGACCCACTTGTCTAAGTCTGGTCCTGCCAGAAAGCTCTTGTACCCAGATGGTCCATTTCTTTGCATTAGCCCAGACTCCTCCCACCTGCCTTTCCTCTGAGCTTGGAACTCCTCTTGAGCAAGACATAAACCAGCCACTCAGCTGAGGCTTTTGAATCCTTCTTGGTGGACTATCCATGAGCAGATGGGGTTTCTTCCCCTGCTCAGCCCTTTGAAAAAGTATTAATATCTGTTTAGTCCTTAGAATAGAGCCTGCTATATAGCAGGTAATATTTAACTTTCGATAATTTGAGAGGCTTTCAACATTAGCAAAGAAAGGATGGGTTTATGCTGCGGACCCCCTAGAGTATCTGATGGTGGCAAAAAAACCTGAGAGGCCCCTCCAGGGCAGAGCTGGGTTGTGGGCAGGGGAAAAGAAAAACGACGCAGATGATCAGAGAGACAATCCCTGGAGTTCCACAAGGTGAATGTTGTTTGGAAGAACTGGAGACTCAATTTGAAAAGTAATATTTTGTACCATCTAATATTAAGAGTTTATTTCAGGTAAAAGATTGGGCCTGCTTAGCCGCTCGAGGTTCTGTGTAGAACTCTGACAGTATATTTGGCTAGGACCCTCATTCTTTTTCTTTTTTTTTTTTTTAACTAGTTTGTTGAGGTTTGATAGACATACAAAAAGCTGTGCATATTTAATATATACAACTTGATGAGTTTGTAGATAAGTATACAGCCACGATCACCATTATCTGTGTCATAAACATATCCATTTTCTCCAAAAGTTTCCTCCCACCTTCTTAATTATTATTTTACGTGTGTGAGGTAAGAACACTTAACCTAAGATCTACCTTCTTAGCACATTTTTAAGTATACAATACAGTATTGTTAACTATAGGCTCTATGCTGTACAGTAGGTCTCTAGGACTTATTCATCTGTTATAATTGAAACTTTGTATCCTTTGACTAATACCTCTCTGTTTCCCCCTCCTCACAGCTGCTAGCAACCACCATTCTACTCTATGCTGAGTTTGACACTTTTAGATGCCTCACATAAGTGGTAACATGTAATATTTGTCTTTCTATGACTGGCATATTTCATTTAGCATAATGCCCTTCAGGCCCATCCATGTTGTCCCAAATGTCAGAATTTCCTTCTTTTCTAAGGCTGAATAATATATCCGTTGTGTGTATATACCACATTTTCTTTGTTAATTCAGAATTGATGAATATTTAGACTTCTCCCATGTCTTGGCTATTGTGAACAATGCTTCAATGAACATGGGAGTACCAATATCTCTTTGAGATCTTGATTTCAATTCTTTTGGACATATACTTAGAAGTGGGATTACTGGGTCATAACGGTGGTTCTAGTTTCAATTTTTGGAGGCTTCTCCATACTGTTTTCCATAGTGGCTGCAGTAGTTCACATTCTCACCAACAGGGCAAAGGGTTCCATTTTTCCATATTTTTGCCAACACTTGTTATTTTTTGCTTTTTTGATAATAGCCAAGGACCCTTTATTTTAAAATGTGCAGTTTCATTTTTAGGTTTCACACAGCTATTAATGTGCCAGATAGACCCCTTCAGAGTTGTCACTTACTGTTCAAAAGTTTGGGACTAATTCCACAATATCACCTAGCATAGATTAAAGAATAGGCTTTATTGGTGTAAACTCATAACACCAGGGTCAAGGCTGCTAAATAGTATATGGGTTCTGGTTCTTGAGGAAAGCTCCTTCCCCCAGCCCCATGGATCTCCCTTCCTATAGGGTAAGTGTGAGAAAGTGGCCTTGGCCTTGTTTGTAAAGGAATAAACAGATGGTCTTATGCCAGGCAGTTTGAAATTAGGGTGCTTACTCTTTATAGAAGTTGATTAGGAATGCCAGCTGCCCTGCACCTGGGGATCTTGGGGCCTGTGGGATATAGTTCCCCATGGGAAGGTCAGGAAGGCTGAGAGGAAGTCATCTGTTCCCTGGGAAGCTGAGTATGGGTGCTGTCTCTGCCGAGAGAATGAGGGAGCTCCTGGGGACCCAGCTGACCCCAGGTGAACACCCAGAGCCATTCTTGAACAATCGTGCTTCTTATAACAGAGAATGTACCTATGACTGATTATCCATTTTATTTTTTACCTGGGGAAAAAAAGGTGCTAGAACTTTCTAGAACTCTCTTACCATTACTGAATTTTTCAAAAGATCATATTCTAAGAGTGATTATCACTCAAATCAGAAATAGTATATGAGAAAGGAAAATAAAATCCTTAGGAGTGTTCGATATCTATACATCTCCTTCATATATTCTATCTTCTTATAAAATTCCCCTGTGATTTATGTATTTCTATTGAAGTGAGATTCACATAACATAAAACCAACCATTTTAAAATGCACAATTCAGTGGCATTAGTATAATTACATTGTTCTACAACCACTATCTCTAGCTAGTTCCAAAACTTTTCATCACCCCAAAAGAAGACCTCATACCCATTAAGCAATCACTCCTTATTCCCTCCTACGCCTGCCCCTAACAACAACCAATCTGTTTTATGTCTCTAAGGATTTACTTATCCTGGATATCTCACATAAATGGAGTCATACACTATGGGACTTTTTGTGTCTGCCTTCTTTTACTTAGCATATCATTTACATGATCCATTCGTGTCGTAGCGTGTATCAGTACCTCATTCATTTCTACAGCTGAATAATATTTCATTGTATGGATCGACCACATTTTGTTTATCTATTCGTGGGATGAGAGACATTTGAGTTGTTTTCACTTTGGGCTATTGTGAATAATATTGCTATGAACATTTGTGTACAAATAGTTGTTTAATACCTGTTTTTAGACCTTTTGGGTATAGACATAGGAGTGGAATTTCTGGAACATATGGTAAGTCTATATTTATTTAACTTTTTGAAGAACCATGATTGGTATCTTTGTTTCTTCTGGTTTTATTAGAAATGCAGGAAAACAGTGCTGCTCAGGACAGCTTGCAATTTAGTTGAAGCAATCATTAGTCATGAATATACTAAAACATTCTTTATTGAGGCTAAAAGGAAACAATGTTTGCTGTTTACCAGAGAACTGGAAATGTTTCGAAACCAACAGTTGTAAAGTTAGCTGAATAATAATCTTCTTTGAAGTTGGATCCATACAGGAGACTCCTGGATAATCATTTCAAAGCATTTCAGAGAATGAGGTCAGTGTGGTGGCCAGCAATCCTGTGGGGCACTAAGTTATAAGTGAGGTGCAGGTCTTATTTTTACCCTTCCCATAGTCTAATACCTTAACTCCCACCCCCAACCCTTACCACAACCAGTCCCCAGCCAAATGCTTCCTCCCCACCACTCAGAGCTGAGAGGATGCCCTGACCCCTTCACTCACTTCCCCCTTCACTCCCCATTGCCTCTTTCTCCCCACCAGAGATAGATACTGAACAAATTTAACTTTCACATTTGAAACAACTATCTATGAAATAAATCACTAGAGAATAACTGTAAACTCCTGTGTTGTTTATTTAGCCCTGATTTCATAACGTGCAGGAATCAGACTGCCCTGATATTTCATAATATGCTGGCTTTGCCACACTGAGTCGAACGGCTATCTGAACAAACAACTCTAGTTTCATTTGCTTCTAGATAGTCCCCTCAAACTACTTCAAGTGAGAACAGATTACAATACTTTTCGCATCAGAACATACATCAGAAATTATATTTTTAGCTCCCTTGAGGCTGAAGGGAACCTGCAGCTTGTTCTTGGATCCTCATTCTAGTCCAACATCAAGCTCAGACAAGCAGAAGTGTTCTCTCTCTCAAACAAATAATGCCAGCCCCACTGCCCCTCTTGGTTGCCCACGTCACCAAGAATGTTAGTACTGCACAGCTTTTTCATCAATGTTCACCTGTTTTTCCTTTTGCTCTCAGAAAACACAAAGCCAGAAGTCTCAAGCAGTGGTTAAGAGGCTAGGAGCTTGGCTTAAGTGTCTGACAGACTTGGGTTTCAATACTAGCTTTGCTTCTAACTGGCCATTAGTTTGTCAGGATTACTTTGTCAACCCCTCTGTGCCTCAGTTTCTTCATCCTTAAAATAGAGAGTATCTACTCCATCAGGCTGTGGGCCGTGAGGGTTAAATGAAGTGCTGCCAGCACAGTGCTTGGCACTTGTACAAGCTGCAGATAATATTGTTGACATAGTTTTGCCCACTATTTCTTTTCTCCTCTTTCCTCCACTACCTCCTCCCCCTAATCTGTCAGTTAGAGGAGACATGATTGTAGTTTCAGGGGAGGGAAGGGAACAAGGAAATAGGTTGTTTCCTCCTAGTTGTTGTGTTTCAACTTCAAGGAACAAAAAGGGAGAAGGATTTGAAGAGGGAGGATTCTCATTTTCCTGTAACAAGCAGAATAAAGCTAAAAGCAAAACCAAACAAACTAGAAAAGATTTTTCTGGCTTGGGTGCAAGGATGATAATGAGGGAGCCATAGAGTTTCCTGGCTGGAGGAGGCAGCAGACAGAGTGATGCACAACTTCCCGGATTCTCTCTGCCTTGGCAAGCTGGAAGAGTGTCATCAGATACATGGTAAGGAAGCTCTACTCCAGAGAGCTGTAACTATCTCATAAAGGAGTTCTTTCTGTAGATGCAAGAAGTTTGGGCCGATTGGTAAGATAGAAAGAGAGGAGACAGAAATTTTTTCTTAGGGATCCTGCATTGCTCAGGGTTAAGGATACTCCACAAACATTTAGAAATAAATGTCAAATCACTAGGCTGTGATGGTACATTTTATAGATCACCTTCAAATAATTGTAAGAAAGACAAGAATTTTAGAAACCTCTTGGAGCCAAGCCGATCACAAAGTAAGCAAGGCCTACGGTCACTTCCCTTAGTTTTTAGACTCCTGGACTATTAAAATAATTAATAAATAACAAAACGTGGTGCTTCAGTTATCTACCATGTCATAACAAACCACCCCAAAACTTAGTAGTTAAAACACATTCATTCATTCACCTTCATTCATTTTGTCACAATTCTGTCGTTTGGGCAGGGCTCAGCAGGGATGGCGCCTCGTTTCTGCTCCATGTAGCATACGACGATATTCATCCGGGAGTTAGATGGGCTGTGACGTCCCTGATGGCCTGTCATTCTCCAGGGTCCCTCTCCACCTAGTCGTGAAATCCGAGCTTCTAACATGGCAGCTGGAGCCTGAGAAGGTAAAGGAAGAAGCTGCCAAATCCCTTAAGGCCTAGATCTAGACCCGGTCACTGTCATCAGTTTCTTCACGTTGTACTGGTCGAAGCAGGACCCAAGGCCAACTCAGACATAAGCGGAGAGGAACAAACTCCACCTGGATCACAGGAGCAGCAGGAGCCTATGAAGAAAGGAAGAGGTGTTGACCATCATATTTGGAGACTGTCTACCAGACAGGGTTGTAAAAATTGTGGTGTATTTTAAATGTTTACATTTAACACATTAACACCTTTAGCATAAAAGTACACAACGACTATATGCTTAACCTTTGAGTATAATATCAATATTCTAAATTTAAGGTGGGGCGCAACAAACCTTTCTTCCTTCCCCAGGGTTTAGAGTCTGTTGTCATGGAGTCTGTCTTAGAGTCTGTGAAGGAAGTTCTTTTCCTAAGTCCCGAATGATTGTGTAATTCGTAATGGGTACCAACAGTCGTTCATTCCTAAAGGCACTCGCTATTCTCAAAGTTCTTGTTCTTCTGATTTTAGATATAGTGAGGTCGCCGGGAAAACTAATTGTCTTCCTGTCAGGGCATCAGCCTCCCCTTCTAACCAGTAGCAGCAGTAATCTCTTCCCACACCGTCTGACCCTCCAGAGTGCGACAAGGGGTTATTAGTCTGTGTACTTGCCATGTAGCAGCCATTCCCTCTACAGAGATGTGGAGTTCCACTTGTAGGGTCATATGATTCTATGGCACAAAAAAAGACTTAATAGGGCCAATTAGCAGTGGAGGTGACATGTCCCATAGATCAGAAATAAGGAGGTACCAAACTCTCCTCATACAAGCTTTGGGAAGCTTGTATGAGAATTTGGGGGCTTTGGGTAAAGTCCCTGCCAGTAGCTGCCTTGGGGTGGAGAAGAAGATGGAACGCAACACCAAGATAGCCAGGCCAGTTGCTAAAAAGTTGTGTCAGCTCCTTACAACAAGACGGAAATTACTGTGGGATCACAGACTGCAATTTTGGGAACATGAGTTGTTTTTATAAAGCCGTTTGTATTTTCTATAATTAGATCTTTTCTGTTCTTAGTTTTTAGTACATCTTTAAAATGCTAGTCTGGTCAGCTGTGCTAAGAATCAAGAAAGAGGTTTTTGTCCAGTTTGGACCAGAGTTTTAAAGGGGAAGCAGCTTACCAAACACCCGACAGTGGGAACAACAGAGTGGGGGTGGCCAGGTGAGAGAGCCTCTAAGGGAAGGTGAACCGAGGGCAGCTGAGTTGGACACCCTTGTTCGGAAACTCTCCTCATATGGAGATGTGTTTATCAAATCTGGGTCCCTCCCCCCATCCCCACAGTCTGTTACTCCCTAGTGGCCCAGACAAGAGGCAAGAAGGGACATCAGTGAACAGTGAGAAGGAAGACTGAACTAGGATTTGTGACCTAAGGCTGGAGTGGATGGTTAACTATGGAGTTTGCTCTTAAGAATGGAGCCAGCAAACAGAAAATCTGGTCTTCATTAGGAAGAGGAGGGAGGGTTCAATCTGAGCGTGAGCCTCCAGGTGCTGAATAATCAGGCAGGCAGGTTTTCTTTTTTCTAGTTAGTGAAGAAAAAGACACAGACTGCAGAGGACTCCATCCAATGCCTAGGAAGGGGATGAGTGAGAGTGAATAGGCGGGGATGAGTGAGAGTGAGTAGGCTGGCATGGCCCCTTAAGCAAACTGGGACATAGGGAAGAGCTTAGTTAGATAACTTCAACCTAAAGGAGATATAGGGCAGGATTGAGGATAGGGAAAGGCTGCCGACTGTGGGTACATGAGGACTGGAGACCCCACAGGCACTGTGACCACAAGGCTTGGAAGATTTGAATAATTCCAGACCCTCCCCAGGCCTGGTTCTCTGGGGCTGCTGCTCGAAGACCTTTAGTAGCTATAGCTGGGTAGAGCTGGGAGTAGGCAGCCACTGTCATTGCCAATGTCCCAGAGTCAGCCCTGCTTTCATAATCTGTTCCAGTTATCTAAAACTGAGTAACATGCTAGGCCAAACTTGTGGCTGAAAACGATCCTTTATTTTGCATTTTAGGCAGGGCAAGGAGGGACCACTCTGTTCCTTATGCCTGGGGCCCCAGACTCGAATAGCTGGAGACAGTGGGGGGCCAACAGGGTACCTCTCTTCCTGCAGGCTCAAGGTGTCTTTCTGCAGTTTCTCCCACATTCTCTCCAGCATGGAGACCTCAGGGGAGCTGACTTAGTAGTGGCTCAGGGATCTAAGAGCAACAATTTCCAGAGGCCCAGGCAAAAGTTGCAAGGTGTTTATCATCATCTAACTTCGGAAGTTCCAGGATATGGTGATTTCCACCGTATTACGTTGATTTAACAAATCACTAATTCCAGCCCAAATTTAAATGAAGAAGATATAGACCAGGGGTCCCCAACTCCCAGGCCACGGACAGTTACCAGTTAGTGGTCTGTTAGGAACGGGGCTGCACGACAGGAGGTGAGCAGCATGTGAGTGAGTGAAACTTCATCTGTATTTGCAGCTGCTCCCCAGCGCCAGCATCACTGGCTCAGCTACACCTCAGATCATCAGGCATTAGATTTTCATAGGAGCACCAGTCCCTCCCTGGTGCCAAAAAGGTTGAGGACCGCTGGTATAGACCCACACTTCTCAACAGGAGTGTCAAAGAATTTGCCACCATTTTTAATGCATCATAGCATCTCACCAAGTCCTTAGCAAAGTCTCCCAGCTGAACTCCCTGTCCCTAGATTCTCACTGATGGCAGCTCAGAGGCAACAATGCACAGGGTAGAAAACATAAGGGCTTTGGAAGCCATCAGGCCTGCATTCTGGTGCAGGCAGGATCCACCACTTAGGAAACTGGTTGAGCTTGTTAGGTTACTTAACTCTTAGAGCCATTGTTTCCTTGCGTGTAAAATGGAATAATAACTACTATAGTGGCCAAGCAAATGTACATCTCATATCTTCCAATGCAGAATGTAACTAACCAATGGCCCTGCCCCAGCGGCTGAGCTCTGAAATCTGTCCTCTGATACTCATCCCCAAGTCAGTGCCGAGGCCAGTTTCCTTGGGCTGCTGGCAGCCTATGACTAAGCACAAGAGGCCTATGTCTGGCAACTGTTGGATTTCTAGAACAGGCCAATTTGGCTCAAGGAACCTCCAGGGACTTGCTGAACTTTAATCTTAGCATTGACTACAGTATAAGATGCTTCCTTCCATCCAACCTTACTTCCTTGCCTCTTTCCTTTTCAAGGATCACACCTGCACCCCAGATCCAGCTCTTTGTCCATTTCCCTCATAAATCTCTTGCACAGTGCTCTTATCTGGCACTGCATTGTGGGGACTGGGACAAACAGCCAGATGCTCGCAGGGATGCTGGGAGTATTAAATAAGTAGGTGTATGCAAGCACCTAGCCAAGGCCTGGCATATAGTTGACATTCATTCCACTAGTATTTACTGAGTCCCTGCTGTGTGCGGACTTTAGCCTGGGCACCCAGGACATAATGGTAAGAAGGTCAGGGCCACCTGCTTGAAGCTTCTTGCAAACTCCCACTGCTGGGAGATAAAGTCCCAACTCTTCTATGGGATACAATGAGCCATTCAAAATTTGACCCCAAGAGTCTCAACACTGCCAACTCCACATTCTGCACACTCGAGCCTATAATCAAGAGTAACTTTCCTCTTTCCTCCTACAATATTGCTCTTTCACCCCTAATGTCTTAGCACACCTTTTTCTTCTCCTTGGAATACCTCCTCCCTCCCTCATGCACACTCCTTACGTGACAACCCTTACACACATGCCCCAAAACCCAGTTCAGTTGTGGGGTCTTAAGTCACGGGGCAGAACGTGCTCGCTGGCACAAATTTTAGCACGCACCTCATAAAAGCACTCGTTACACTGTGCTGTAATTGCTGTAACAGCGTCCCTGCTAATTTGTGAGCTTGTCTACAACTGGGGCAATGTGCTATCTATGCTGAATGTCCAGTACTTGGCACTCGGTAGGACCGCAGTACGGATCCGAGTTGTGGGAAAGTGAATGCGCCAAGGACGACAGGCGATTTTCCGGGGC